TTTGTACTGTACTTACAACTTTCTGTGTTAGTCATTTCAAAATAAAAAAACTATACATATAGAAAATATGTATATGAAAGCCCTCCTTTATAAGAGCAAACTTCTGTTACCCGTGTCTTTATCTCTCGTGTATCTTTCCAAAACTCTCTGCACTTCTAAACACATGTATATGCAATTTTTTTCCCTCCTTGCATAAAATTGAGCATCTTTCACCTACTCACCTCTTTTTTGTCACTTAGCAATATATGTGCATAGTTTGATGTGTATATTTGATGTATTGACCTTTTTACCATGATGAAGTGTCCTTTGTCTCTAGTAAAATTTCTTTTAACATCTATTGTGTCTGATACTAATTTTGTCCTTCTACTCTCTTATGGTTACGTCTTAGATCTAAAGTGTGTCTTTTGTAGATAGCATATACTTGGGTCTTGTTTTCTTATCCAGGCTGAAAATGTATTATTCTCTGTAGCTTCATAACAAATTATCCCAGTAACATCATAAAATAACACATACTTATTGTCTTACAGTTGCTGAAATTAGGAACCTAGGAGTGGCTTAACTAGGTTGTGGTGCTGAGTTTTCATGCAGTTACAGTCAAACTATAGGTGAAGTTGCTAGCACCCGAAAGAAGTTTTGGCAAACTATGGCTGTTGGGTTAAACCCACCCATTACCTGTTTTAGTAAGGCTCACAATCTAAGAATGGTTTTCACATTTTAAAATAGCTGGAAAAAAATGAAAAGAAGAATAACATTTCTTAACACTTCAAATGATGCGAAATTCAAATTTCAGTGTCCATAAATAAAGTTTTATTGGGACACAGCCATGCTCTTTCATTTATGTACAGCCTACTGGCTGCTTTTGTGCTTCACCCGTGGAGCTCGGGAGCTGCAACAGAGACTGGGTCACCCACAATGCCTAACATATTTACTATGTGACCATTATAGAAAAAGTTTGCAACCCCTGCTCTAAAGGCTTGACTGGGATTGGAGGAGGGCTTCTAAGAGGGCTCACACACATGGATGTTGGCAGGAGTTTTCAGTTTCTTGTCACATGAGCACTTACATAGGGCTGTTCAAGAAGTTACTGACTCCTCCCGGGGGAGTCATTCAGAAATGAGAGAGCAACAGAACAAGCCACGACAGAAGCTGTGGTGTCTCTTATATCCCCGTTTGAGAAGTGACATACTATCAGTTCTGCCATATTCTCTTGATGAAATGTAGTCACACATACCAACCCTGGTACCATTTGGGAGGGGTTCACACAAGGGTTTGCATATCATTGGAGGCCAGTTTGGAAGCTGACCACCACGGATGATCTCTGACTTTTTTTTTTTTTTTTTTTTGGCCGCGTTGGGTCTTTGTTGCTGAGCGTGGGCTTTCTTTAGTTGCGTTGCACCGGCTTCTCACTGCAGTGGCTTCTCTTGTTGCGGGGCACAGACTAGACTCTAGGCGTGTGGGCTTCAGTAGTTGTGGCTCGCGGGCTCTAGAGCACGGGCTCAGTAGTTGTGGCGCACAGGCTTAGTTGCTCCGCGGCATGTGGGATCTTCCCGGACCAGGGCTCGAACCTGTGTCCTCTGCATTGGCAGGAGGATTCTTAACTACTTTGCCACCAGGGAAGCTCCGATCTCTGACTTTTGGTTGGAATGTTTATTTCATTCACACTTGATGTCGTGATTGATATAGTTGGCTTCATGGCTGCCATTTTGCTATTTGTTTTTACTCTGTTAGTCCTTCACTACCTGCCTTTGTGTTAAACAATTTTTAGTACACCATTTAAATTTCTCTGTTTTTTTTTTTTTTAACTGTATATTTTGATTTTTTTTTTTTTTTTTGCGGTACGCAGGCCTCTCATCGTTGTGGCCTCTCCCGCCGCGGAGCACAGGCTCCGGACGCGCAGGCTCAGCGGCCATGGCTCACGGGCCTAGCCGCTCCGCGGCATGTGGGATCTTCCCGGACCGGGGCACGAACCCGTGCCCCCTGCATCGGCTGGCGGACTCTCAACCACTGTGCCACCAGGGAAGCCCTAAACTGTATATTTTGAAAGCTGGTTTTTAAATGGTCACTCTAGGGATGACAATATACATTGTAAATGACCACAGTCAACTTTATGTTAATACAGATTTAATTCCAGTAAAATATAGCAGCATTGCTCCAATATATCTCCATTTCCCACCTTATTTTGTGCTATTGTTGTTATATATATCACATTCATATATGTTATACACTGTACAATATAGTGTTATAATTTTCACTTCTACCATCACATTTTTAAAGAAAATAGAAGAAAAAATAAATTTTATTTATATAATTTTGAAAAAGATTTATTCACATATTCATAATTTCTAGGATTCTTTATTTCTTCCTGTGGATTTGATGTCATTTTCTTTCAGTGTGAAGGACTTCCTTTAGTATTCCCTGCAGGGAGGTCTGCTAGCAATGAATTCTCAGTTTTTTTCTATCTCAGAATATCTTTCTTTTGCATTCAGTTGTTTTTTTTTTTTTTTTTTTTTGTGGTACGCGGGCCTCTCCCGTTGCGGAGCACAGACTCCGGACGCGCAGGCCCAGCGGCCATGGCCCACGGGCCCAGCCGCTCCGCGGCATGTGGGATCCTCCCGGACCGGGGCACGAACCCACGTCTCCCGCATCGGCAGGCGGACCCCCAACCACTGTGCCACCAGGGAAGCCCTTGCCTTCAGTTTTTTGTTGTTTTTTCTTCTTCTTCTTAACATTTGCCTTCAGTTTTTAAATACAGTTTTGTTGAGTCTAGAATTACTGACAGTTTTCTTTTGTTTAGCACTTTGAATAAATCATTCAACTGCCTTCTGGCCTTCATTGTTTCTATGAAAATTTAGCTGTGAATCGTACTGCTTTCCCCTGTACATGATGAGTTGTTTTTTCACTTATAGCTTTCAAATTTTTCTCTTTGTCTCTTTTTTTTTCTCTTCCAGCAGTTTAACTATGATGGGTCTCGGTATGGATCTCTTTGTTATTTATCCTACTTGCAGTTCATTGAGCTTCTCGGATCTAGAAACGAATGTCTTTCATAAAATTGGGTAAGTTTTCAGGCATTATTTCTTCAAACATATTGCAGCAGTGATAGAAAACTAAACATGACCTCGCCAGCTCTTTGGGGGACCCTCTCCCTGTGCCCCTCTAGGCTCGTGACTGATGTATCTCCTGACAGCCATCCCTGCGCAGTGACTGTTCAGTAAGGGAGGAGGGAGCCCAGAACAAGGAGAAGACTGCCTCAGACTGGAGGCTGCCCAGGTCAGCCCTCCGCCCTTCCTGACCTCCTCAGCATCCATCCAGGGTCTGAGGGCCCCCAGAACATCTTTGATCAATGTTTGACAAATCCACAGAGTCTTCTGGAGAACTCAACGAAAATATTGATGCCCAGGACCCACTACAGATTTACTAGGCTAGAACATACGAAATTATTGATATTTAACCACTTTTAACCTACCAAAAATGCCATTTTTGTGGTTTAACCTAATGATGGTCTGGGTTGGGGTCAGGTATCAATATTTTTTAAAAGCTCCCCAGGGGATTGCAATGTAGGACTGTTTAAGAACTACACTAGGTGAATGAATGAGACAATAAACTGAATGAGTAATTGAATAGACAGTGACAAATGACTGGATATGTGAACAAGTGAGTGAGTGAATGAATAAGAGTGAATAAACGGATGCATGAAAGTGTAAGTAAATGAACAAATTATTAAATCAACACAAAGATGATGATAAAAGGATATTTGAATGAATGACACATGGTTAGTGGACAGATGAAGAGATAAATGTATGGATAAATAATTGGAAATGGATGGAGGGAAAGATCATGAAGAGAAGAATGGATGACTGGATATAGATAAAACATGAACAAATGGATGGATGGATGGATGTGCTGGAAGGCAGAGAACTGCACGGACAAATGGAGGGAGTGAAGAGATGAAAGGATGAATGAAATCTGGATGTAAGCATGGCTGAGTGAGTAGACATATGGACTAATAAATAAGTAGTTAGATGTTTGAATGGATGGATGGTCAGATGGATGGGTGAACGGCTGGATGACGAATGGATGAACAAACAGCTAAAATGGAGAGGTAGAGTGGATGGATCATTGAATGTTTAGATGGATGGATGAACATATGCTCGGATGAATGTTTGGAAAGACTGATGGATGATGAGATAGATGGATGAAGGGATGAATGGATGGGTGGATGGATGAAGGGATGGATGAAAAGATGGCTGGACAAACAGACGGATAGATGGATTGGTGAGTGGCTAGATGGTTGGATGTTGAATGGGTATATGGACTTTTGGTTGGATGGATGCAGGGTGGATGGGACAACAGGCTGTATAGTGGTTGAGCACGTAGCCTTGGGAGCCAGACCACCTCGATTTGGATACTAGTGCTGCCATTTATGGACTCTGTGACCTTGGGCAACAGCTTTATTTTTCTTTGCCTGTCTCCTCATTATTTACAGATGGAAAATAATAATAGTTCCTACCTCGTGGCATTGTGAGGAGTGAATGGGTTCATACACATAAAGCCCTAGATTTATTATGATGAGAGGATGGATGGGCAGATGATTGGATGGCTGAATGGACAGTGCACGATTGAACCAAGAAGGAAGGAACAGTGAGGGAGGCGAACGGGGTCGTGTACACTCACAAGACACCCTCGTACATTTTATTAGGGGCTTAGAAAGGAGTCCTACAGGATCTTCCTCTGTGTTCCCAAGGGTTACGGCCCCAGATATAGATCAGATCTGGACATAGGACAAGGTGACATCACCCTGGATCTCCACCATGTCCACCCTCTGGAAGGCCGAAAGGCGATGGGAGAAGTCGAAGAGGTGCTGGCCGTTGGCATACACCTTGAAGCGATCCATGCCACAGCGAATGGACAGCTGCAGACAGAGGGGCGGGCATGAGGCCAGAGCCAGGACAGAGGCTTTGGAGGGAAGCAGGGAAAGGG